AATATGACGTCACCGAAACTTTGTGTCAAATTGCAGCACCAATTTAAAAAGACCTGGAGACCTCAAAGAATCATTTGACTTCAGCGTCCTGGAAGATGAAAACTTTGTAAGTAATTGTTGCAATTTTATTTCACAATGACATTTACAACAGCACGTTGGAAATTCTGTGAGAAATCGTTTAGGAACACTCGACTGGAACGGGTCCTCTGCTTTTTGCTGAAACATATCTATAGTTGTGTGGTTCGATTTTCTGGCGGAACTTTCCCCTGCAGTTAATCAGAACGGCGGCGAATTTCGTTTTGCAACTAAAACAATCAGGCATCATATGAAATTGCTAGTAAAGGGGGGTTTGATTTTCGAATGATTACATATAGGATTTTGTACACAGACTCACAAGATTAGGAAAACTTAACACGACTTCGGTTTTGAAACGCTTACAAATATGGTGGCAGAAGCCACCAATTTTGCCTCAAATGTCATTTTAGTCAAAAGTTACCTCTTCATGAAGTGAAAAATACCGAAATGAAATTTGGCAAGGGTTGTCAATTAATTCTATCTGGCTCTGATCTGCCGTAAAGAATATTTATCTAACGTTTAATCAATTGTCACTTCACAGACCTGGCCGAACGAGGAAGTGCCAAACTTTCAAAGCACTGTCCGAACCATTTTTAAGTACATGACAAGCCTTGGTTCAAGAATGCTGTCTGTCATAGCCGTTGGCCTTGATCTGGTACGATCGATTTTATTGTATATTTTTGTTCTTTTCTGCACGATGAAATGTAATTCCATTACTCTAAGTAAGAAGGAAAATAATCTTATAGATAGTGTTTAAGCCACGTGACTCTCTTAAGCCCCGTGCAAACGCACGTAACATTGTTGGCCGAATACTCCCACCAATGTTGGATGTTACACGTTGCGTCCGTTTACACACCCTATTTGTTGCGTGTTGTTTGAAGTTGTTGCAAAGTTTGAAACCCGTCAAACGTTTAGCTACCGTTTCCATGTGGTTTTATGGTGTGTAATGAGATGTAAATTTTACTATGTTGAGAGTGCTGTGAAGTGATAAACTCTGCAAATATCTTTATGATAAAAGTCAGAATTTAATTCAAGGGGGAGTACTTCAGATTTGAAGTGACAGGGATGATCGAAGGATTTTTTTGGGTTTGAAATCTTCTATTCCAGGATTTTTTGTGGTAGGAAGATTTGGCAAGTATTCTTTTGGATGGCTAGATTTACGTAGGGGTTTTTTTGGCTATTGAGAATAATCTGAAGATTCGTGATAGTGCCCGCAAAGTTCTGTGATTAAAGCACAAAACTTGTTTTCCTCTCTGGAGATTTTTAAGGCTCAGAAATTTGGCATGGCACTTTTTGTGGTTTTGTTGGAAGCCCTAGGAATTTTGGGGGGTTTTGATTTTTGACCCCCCCCCCCCACCCACCACTAGCTACGCCCCTGAAACAAATAGGCCGCTATTATGAAATAGCTCTATTCGTCTTCAAAATGATGATTTTTTGTCCGGCGTCGGATAATTTGCTTAGAGGAGAAACTTTTCTCTAGTATCTGACAATAATAAAGGAACAAGCAGTCCTGTGCCGAGTAAACGTTCCCTCAAGAGATGGCGACGTAATGAAGTTAAAAATGGAGAAAAACAATGTCAGTTACAAGCATAGTTAGTAGAGGACACTGGTTTTGAAAGCCGGCAAACATCAAAGTTGAAAACAACGGTGCTGTAGTTTATGTCGGAAGCTCCCTGACCGTAAAAATAGCCTTTGTTTTTGTTTTTGTTTTGTTTTTTTGTTTGTTTGTTTTTTTTCATAAGTTGTGACTGAATACATTAATGCGATGTTAATCTTTTTTGTGATCAGTAACTTCAAATGATAGGAATGCTATTGAACGTTGTGCACGGTCAGGTCTAAGGGTCTGTTTACATGGAGGTGAGGGACCCCAGATAGGTGAGGTAACATGCGGCGGGTCACCCCACCTATCACGTAAACGTGATCAAATTAAAAAGAGAGATTACGTACACAGGGGGGTTACCCACCAAAGAGTGTTACCTCACCTACCTGGGGTTCACCCACCTCCATGTAAACAGGCCCTAAAAAAGCTAACAAAAACATATAACAAAGGAGTCTAACGTGTTTCATAACCACTCCACTTAAGTAATGTTGTATTGGTTTGTCTCAGTTACATTACTTGCTTGTTGTTCTTTGTTAATGATCCTTTTATCTTGCAGATTGACACCACTTTCGAGACTTATGACAAGTTTTTTAACTTGAACATTGATTTAAAGAGAAAATATACAAAGAAAACTGGAACGACAAAGAATGGCTGGGATGAGCTTGAAAGGGAAAGGTATACCTACTTTATTATATACCTGTACGGAAGAAAATTCTTTCAACCTTTTACTATACAATAAGGAATCCAAAAGGGACAGACCTCATACACTGATAGAGGTAAGACTGAATTGTGTGGATTCTCTTTGGAGACTAGACCTATAGAACTAGCAAATAACCCGAAATCAAACAGGTGTCCGTACATCTGAAGATGCTCGATTGCACTTATTAAATATCTATTTTAGATATTACTAATTAAAAGCACGATGAGAGATTATACTCACGAAACTCGTTTAGACGTTTTTAAGAACTCATATAAACGTTTCCGTGCGTTCTAGATTGAACTGGAATTTGGAAGTTTTGTTTTTTTGAGGAGATGGGAAAACTGGTCAATACCTGGAAAAAACCTTTCAGAGCAAGGGAGAGAACAAACAAATAACAGAATATTGTGGGCACCTTTGTACATTTGCTTTTTTAATTAAAGTGCATTTACTGTAAGGGAGTTTTTCAGTAGAGTGCGCGACGGTAATAAATATGACGTCACCGAAACTTTGTGTCAAATTGCAGCACCAATTTAAAAAGACCTGGAGACCTCAAAGAATCATTTGACTTCAGCGTCCTGGAAGATGAAAACTTTGTAAGTAATTGTTGCAATTTTATTTCACAATGACATTTACAACAGCACGTTGGAAATTCTGTGAGAAATCGTTTAGGAACACTCGACTGGAACGGGTCCTCTGCTTTTTGCTGAAACATATCTATAGTTGTGTGGTTCGATTTTCTGGCGGAACTTTCCCCTGCAGTTAATCAGAACGGCGGCGAATTTCGTTTTGCAACTAAAACAATCAGGCATCATATGAAATTGCTAGTAAAGGGGGGTTTGATTTTCGAATGATTACATATAGGATTTTGTACACAGACTCACAAGATTAGGAAAACTTAACACGACTTCGGTTTTGAAACGCTTACAAATATGGTGGCAGAAGCCACCAATTTTGCCTCAAATGTCATTTTAGTCAAAAGTTACCTCTTCATGAAGTGAAAAATACCGAAATGAAATTTGGCAAGGGTTGTCAATTAATTCTATCTGGCTCTGATCTGCCGTAAAGAATATTTATCTAACGTTTAATCAATTGTCACTTCACAGACCTGGCCGAACGAGGAAGTGCCAAACTTTCAAAGCACTGTCCGAACCATTTTTAAGTACATGACAAGCCTTGGTTCAAGAATGCTGTCTGTCATAGCCGTTGGCCTTGATCTGGTACGATCGATTTTATTGTATATTTTTGTTCTTTTCTGCACGATGAAATGTAATTCCATTACTCTAAGTAAGAAGGAAAATAATCTTATAGATAGTGTTTAAGCCACGTGACTCTCTTAAGCCCCGTGCAAACGCACGTAACATTGTTGGCCGAATACTCCCACCAATGTTGGATGTTACACGTTGCGTCCGTTTACACACCCTATTTGTTGCGTGTTGTTTGAAGTTGTTGCAAAGTTTGAAACCCGTCAAACGTTTAGCTACCGTTTCCATGTGGTTTTATGGTGTGTAATGAGATGTAAATTTTACTATGTTGAGAGTGCTGTGAAGTGATAAACTCTGCAAATATCTTTATGATAAAAGTCAGAATTTAATTCAAGGGGGAGTACTTCAGATTTGAAGTGACAGGGATGATCGAAGGATTTTTTTGGGTTTGAAATCTTCTATTCCAGGATTTTTTGTGGTAGGAAGATTTGGCAAGTATTCTTTTGGATGGCTAGATTTACGTAGGGGTTTTTTTGGCTATTGAGAATAATCTGAAGATTCGTGATAGTGCCCGCAAAGTTCTGTGATTAAAGCACAAAACTTGTTTTCCTCTCTGGAGATTTTTAAGGCTCAGAAATTTGGCATGGCACTTTTTGTGGTTTTGTTGGAAGCCCTAGGAATTTTGGGGGGTTTTGATTTTTGGTCCCATTCGCTCATTAGACTGGTTTTCATCCGAGAGTGGAAAGTAATTTCACAGTTGCGTGGTTTTGTAGCTATAAAATGATTGTATGAGGCGGGAACTCACGCCTTTTTATCAGCCAACCATAATTACAACCAAAATTTCCTGGGACTCGACGTTAGGAAAAAAGTACAATTTCCTCGCGCTTATAATAATGGCCTGCTACACAAATTTCCTTCGAATTGTTTATGGTTCATTCTTAAAAGTTTGCTTGTTTTGTGATTGGCGGTTACTTCAGACAGCTGTTTGTTTTTCCTCAATGTAATGTTATTTTTCTTCGTATACACAGTTTAAAAGGTACAAAACATTCTTTTCTTTTAATTTTGCTCTACCCAGGATCCAAACACGTTTGCCTTTGCTTGGCAAAAGACGGGCACCTCCGAAGGTGGTTCTCAGTTAAGATACAACTATTATCCAATGATATCAGACCTTAGTAAAATCAAGCCGGGTCAGATTCGCTGTGGAGAACACACGGATTATGGTGGGATTACATTGCTGATTCAAGATGATGTTGGTGGACTGGAGGTAAGAAATCAATTGACAAACCTATTTCTGTAACTATCTTTACATTTATTTAACACTTCTTGTGTCCGGATCATTTTAACGTTACTTCAATATTGCTGCCTCTTTTTTTAGGCCAATATAGACTAATAACATATCATGTAACGGTCGTTTGATTCAGGTGACCAATGTTGATGGACAGTTTGTACCCGCCAAGCCTATGAAAGGAGCAGTGTTGGTCAATATTGATGACCTTATGCAAAGATGGACATCAGATCGATACAAGTCTGTGGTGAGTTTAAACAATAAAACTAACCTTAATCCCTCCATCAAAAAATATGCCACAAGCCATGACTGGTTAATATACACGTTATAAAAGTAAATTTGAGTACCTAATTTATCCTACTATGCAGCTTTAACAATCTGAATATCCCCAGAAGCTCTGATATCCCTTTATGCTAGTAGTAGTTTGTTCGGTCATTTATTAAAATAACCGGAACCGATTTGAGTTTTAGAAAACGTCGGAGACAATTCTTCAGATCTTTAGAAAGATCTGAAGACACTCACTGAAAGTTAACTTCTAAGCTTCTGTTTCTTTTATTTTGTGAATTATTAGTGCGTTTTAACGATTTTTTTTCTTCCATAAAACAGGTTCATCGAGTGCTGATTCCTGAGGAGGAAATCAAGCGCAGAGTTCCTCGCCGATCGTTGGTTTTGTTTCATGACCCAGATGATGACACGATGGTCACGTGTCTGGATGGATCTAACAAATATCCCCCAACCAGAGCGAGGGATTGGATCTATCATCAACTGCATTCAACTTACAAATATTGAATAATACGCGTAGGCAATGACATCAACATGACAGCAAGGATAATGCCTCAGATCGATAGAATAATCGCTATAATCGACAACATAACTAGCTTGAAAAAAGAAAACTTCAGCTTCGCTATAGGACAGTCACATGACACGTGATTACCTTCTATTTAGTACCACTCGGCATTATAACTGTTACGCTAAGGTAGTTCACAAAATCAACCAATACCTATGTTCCAAGACAATGATTCTACCCGCCTTAGACTGAACCTGTTGCAGTCGTGCAGTGATGGCGAAGAAGTGTACCCAAAAACGTGATGTACCTGAAGAGTTGTTTATGGTTTGCTGATTAAACCTATTGCTCTTTTGACATTCTCATTCAAGCGAGTATAGCTTCTTGAATGAACTACGTAGTCTTCGAATACAGCCGTCTCTCCTTGTTCTCTGCCGTTAGGTAAGTTTCGTCCCTAGAGGCTAGGAGCGAGAAAAGACGGCTCTATTCGCAACTTATATAAATGAATTGACAGTATTGAATTGAATAGTATTGCAGTGGTTAAAGATTATCCAGAGGAAGCTAGATGATATCTCGTCTCCTTCTTGTACGTTTTATAGTTTAGTGATTAAAATCGAAGGAAGAATCCTTACCTTTTAAAGATATACTCCAAGTGTCTATTTATCAAACTTATTTACTGAAGCGCGAAAAGTGCTGGCTCTCACTCCTCGATGCCGCTGTAACAGTTATATTACTCTTATATCCCTCTATGGGAGGAAAAGACACTGAATTAACATGCAGCTTGCTAACGCAATTTATAATGCAGACCAGGTATATCATGAGGTATATCAAAAGAGACTCAAATGTGTGAATCGTTGTAAACGGGAGTGACGCGTACGTCCATAGGAAGCTAAAAGGAGAGTGTAACTGGAAGTTGAACTGTTTAGTTTCCGTCTGACTGATCATTCGTCAAATAATTATAGAGGTTATAAAAGGCCACAATGTGCCTACGTGCCTGTGTGCTCAAGGGTTCCCTATCGAGGCCAAAGATAGCAACGGAAAGGCGTTTCCGTTTTTAATCATTGTGTCACACTGCTGCACACTCTGTGGAAAAGGGAAGTGATAATTTTGATGCACCAATCCAATCGTGCACGACAGAAAATGGTCGATTGCCGGTAGAGCTTTCTTTTCGCAGTACGAAACACATTCCAGTGAATGTAAGCACTATTCGCAGGTTTGCTGTAAAACTATGATTGTTTGCAATACCCTTAATTTTTTGTTGGCTGCGTTCCTGATTGACCTGAATACCATTCCGCAATAAATGGAATGACGTTATTTCCCACGCGTCACGACACACTTTCATAACAAATAAGCGGATGCCGCCGGAAGACGAAGCTCTCGGCGGAAAAGGTGAACAATGGAGCAGAGAAGAAACGCTTTTTGCTACTTCCCTAAGAATGAAAGCGGGGAAGTTGTTGAATTTCGTCCCCGTCGGCATAATCTACAGCCCAAGTAATTGACCCACGCTTGTTACATGTAATTGTGTCCTTTTAAAAACACAAGGCAATATGTCCTGTACACTAACTTTTCTCCGAGTAATTTTCCTCTAGATTTCCAACAGCTTGTGATATCAGAGTTGCCGCAAAAACAACTCATTACAAGCGAAACCACATAAAACGCGCGTGAAGAGTGAAAGGGAGCTGCTCTCGCCCCAGCCCATACCGCGTGCGTCAAGGTCCCTGCACAGCACACTACTATCCCGGACCCAGTTTTTCGAAGGCCGTTTAGTGCTTAACCCGGGGTTAAATTTATCCTGGTTTCTTTTTCTTTTGTTCAAAAGCATTTTCTTGGATAATTTTCTCTGTTATTTTGAAGAGCATCCAATCAACAACTTGATGACAGAAAGAATTAAACTGAATTTACTTTTTAAGCTTTCAAATCTGAATTCAAATTTCGCACTAACCCTGGGTTATCTTAACCCAGCTTTGAACAACACGGCCGTGGAGCCTGGAACACGCTAGATTTTCAAAGATATTTGTAACATAAATCGCCGGCTCCAAGCCCGGGGGGTTTTAAATACCATTTTTCACGAGAAAGGTACCCCTTTCGTTCATTCAAATAGGAATCAATAAAAAAGTTAGAGCGTTTTCCCGCCTTCATAAAGCCATAAAATTCATCTGTTGGGCCCTTTGGGCCCTTTAACAGACCCAAATGACAGATTTCCCTACCCTTTCATATACTTCAACGAGTAAAATCCCTACCCCTTTCGGGCGGAGCCTTCCCGAATAGGCCATTACAAGGAGCACCCTTCGGGGCTCCCAGACACTCGGAGAATAAGAAGGAGACTCAAGATGGAGCTGATCGCTAACGAAAGTTTTCTTTTCTTGTCAGAGGTCCTAAGTAAGTATAAATGCAACAATGCCCTGTCATTGTTCTCACTTCTATTTAAGCTTTTTAAATGAGTCTCCACGAAGCAAAACATGTGCAATACAGCGTCACGGTTCGGCCATCTGACTGAGCACCTTATCCATACAAGTAGACGCATGGATGCATGGTAACTCAGCCGGCAAACGCCATTTCTAAAGTAGCGCTCTGCGCATGGGCAGATGGTAAAACCAATGAAAAAGTTAAAATTCCACCGAACTTTGTTCCATGTGAACCTGCGTGCAGACGTCTCCTGTTTCCTTTGTTGCGCCTAACAGGCTTGTTCAATCAGTGAAAAGAGCGAAAATATTGAACGGTTCCGTGTGAACGAATGTCTGCACAGTCAGATTTTTCAGCCAGTCGAAAATTCGATCGTCACAGTAGACTCCGGTATCGTGTGAACGTCAATCACGTTGCAAAAAGGAAGGGTACTCGCGCTAACTCGAACCAAAATCAATTTCCCCTGGATTTCCTTTATACTAAAACTTGGCAGTAATTTTACCCCCGGTAACTCGAACTTTCGCTAACTCGAACCTCGCGCTAACTTTAACCAAAATCAATTTCCCCTGGATTTCCTTCATACATTTACAGTAATTTTACCCTTGGTAACTCGAACTAATTTTTTTTCCCGTCAGATATCTTTTCTATACAATTTTACCCTAGATAACTCGAACCATGTTCTAAGAGCGTGACAAGTCGAACAAAAATCAGTGATCATGAACTGCAGTCCAAGCCACTGAATTTATTTCAAAACAACCATGTATTCTTCGCCTTTACATTGTTCGGCAGTCCATTTCAAATACAATGTTTAGTCCTGTACTGATTAATCAAGCTTTGTTGCTTAATTCATTCAATTTTTCAAAATATCAATCTATATCTCTTGCTGCCCTTGAAGTGAAGTGTACATTGATACTTGCATTCCTTCCCTATACATTGCTTATTTCCGGTTATTATTTGCTTCGAACTCCTAATAACTCGAACTCCTGATAATTAACTCGAACTTTTTTCGATTCCCCTCGAAGGTTCGAGTTATCGGGAGTCGACTGTACTTTAAGTGGAAGAGCCGGAACTTATTTTAGGACGAAAATAAGAGACTACTGCCAGTCTACAGAGAATGGTCAGTAACTATAAACACACTGTCATGTGTAAGTTTCTGATTGGAACAAACAATGTCCATTCCTGTGTGACCTTGTCCAAAACTCGTTGCCGTGGCCTCCTTTTCCCTCCTCTCTCGCCCCAGGGGCACGATTCTCGAAAGTCTCGGAAAATTTGCAGTCCCGAATCAAATGTTCAAATCAAAATCTGAGGAAGAAAAGTGCAGATCCCAGCTAACAGGTAGCGCTTTCCATCTATCAATAGGTATTTCCTGCTGTCATGAATTCGTTGCGAAACAGGATTCATACCTGATTTATAGTCATACGTTTTAACATGTTTTGCACCTAAAGATATTCAAGTTTTGCCTAGTTCCTAGGCCTCATTATTTCGCCCGGCCAAAGTGTTTCCGGTCACGTGATCCAAGCGAAAATGTGAGAGGGACTGGGAAAACGTCGTACGGGGACTAGGCAACTTCAAGTTTACGTTTTAACCTTACCCTGATCTTTTCAAGTATAGAACATCATTAAACGTCAGTGTCCTAAAGCCATAAAGGGGAAACTTTGCAGATATTCTCGACCTACTTTCCTGTTCCAAAATAACAGTGGACCACAGTTTGCGTGTTCCTAATGATATGCATGCATACCACGTTATTATAGGAAATTAACTTTCCATGAAATGAAGGTGCTGGAAATTAACGCGAATTTAACAAGAATTTTAATCTTATGGAAAATGACTTTCGAATAACGGAAATTAGCGCGAAAGAGAGCGTAACATTTCATAATGAAGAAAATTAACGCGACGTTCACAAAGAAACAAAATTTGGTGAGACAACAGAAACAGAGTGAAACAGTATGATCCGAAATGGAAACTTTGGTTGAGGTACTTTCCCTAATTAAAAAGGTACGAAGGGGGTCAAACGAAGAGTGAATCTCCCCACTGGTGTCTTACATTGGTGTCAAGAATGTCAAAGGTGTATCGAGAATTTGGGGTAAAAGAATGGAAATCAAAGTTGCATAAATTAACGCTCCACTAAACTTAATGAAGCGGAAATTAAGTGTTTAAAAACGGAAACGCCTTACCGTTGCTATCATTGGCTTTGACAGGGACCCCTTAAGCAGATAGGCACGTATATGGACATTTGACGACTGATTCGCCTTCTGATTACACTTCCCGTTGAGAGTTCTTATAGACGTCACTCTCATTTACAGCTAGCCGCTAGTAGGCACTCTGAGTAACTCATAAAAAGATAAAGGTTTTCTTTGATTTTAATCACCAGAAGTATATAACCCCGAAGCGTCTAAATTCCCCTTATATGTTTGGAACTATGCTCGGGTATTTTAGCCGACGCAGCCGTCCACTTAATGACCCGTACGAGAAAGAAGACGAGATATCATCTGGATAATCTCAAACTAGTACAATTCAATTGAATTCAATACAGTTAATAACTGTTAATTCATAACCTGCGAATACAGCCATCTCTCCTTGCTCCTCGCCAAGCGGCGAAAGCAAGGAGAGACGGCTGCATTTACAGGCGAGTTAATTCAAGGAGCTGCCCTCGCTTGCATGAGAATGGTTACTAATAGACTGTAATCACGTGTCATATGACGGTCTTATCAGGGCTGAAGTTTTCTTTTATTCAAGCTTCTCACATGGAGATATACCTTAAGTTGTTTGTATAATATAGAGATGTTCCTCAGAGGAAGGCGGAGGGTGGGGGAGTAGTCCCGATTTTAAGTGATTGAGATAATAGAGGGATTTTTTGGGTTTCAAGTTTTCGATTCCGGGATGTTTTGGGGCGGTATTCAAAACAATCTGAAGATTTGTGTTAATGCCCGCGCATCCCAGCCGCGCAGTTCTGCGAATAAAGTACAACCAAACTTGCTTTTAAAGCTTTATTTTTCGTGTTACATCATTCAAAGCTTTATGGAAATTTTTAAGGCTGGGAAAATCGGCATGGGATTTTTTGGGGGATTAATTTTTGGGCCAGGAAATTTTTTGGGTTTTGATTGTTGCCCCGCCATCTGATCATTCCCGTCACCTATACACCAACCCCCATACCCCGGGAGATGAACTATGTTCTTTATAACGTCTGCGGCATTGTAAGCTATCCTTGCTATCATCTCAACGCTATTGCTGATGATGATGATCCGGACACTACTCATTTGTATGCTGAATACCGTTTACCATCAACCCAATCTTTCGCTTTGATTGGTGGATATTGGTTAGATCCATCCAAACACGTGACCATAGTGTCATTATCCGGGTCGTGAAACAAAGCTAACGATCGGCGAGGAACTCTGCGTTTGATTTCCTCCTCTGGGATCAGCACTCGATGAACCTGTTTTTTGAAAGGAAAAAAAAATGGATTAAAATGTACAAGCTACTGAACAATTTGAAAAATAAAAGAAGCCGAAGTTGAGAAGTTAAGTTTCAACAAGTGTCTTCAGATATTTTTAAAACTCGGTCGAAATGCTTTTCCGATTTTGTTAAAAATCCAAGGCGTTTCTGGGCGCCTCTTATCGAAAGCCTTTTTGAAATATAGCCGTTCGTAAATAACCGAAAAAAACACTACTGGTATGAGAGGATATTCGATCAGACTGTTAAAGCTGCTTGTTTGGATGAATTAGATACCAAAGTTCACGAATATTACGTGGATAGATTGCTTTCACTTGCATGACCTTACGTCGGCTATTTTTGTGTCCCACCCAAGACAATGAAATTTTGGCCATGTTGGTGTCCTAAACCAACAGCTGAACCAATCCTGTGGGAAATAGATTTTTTTTTTCTGTAAAAACTTTCTTTTGTTTCAGTAAATAACATTTATTCACTGACGTGGAGGTAGCTAGTGATGATATTTACCGAGCCGCGATAATTGTTTAAGTATATATATTTTGTTCGAGCAAAAAAAATGATGGTTTTTAACTCTTTTACTGGTGCCAACGATTACAATTTTGACGCGCAAATGACCGAACGGCCGTCGCGTTTTCTTGCCGACAAATAAAACTTTTGAAGGCATATGTTTAGCTGTTTATCGGAGATTTCCGTCTTGAAAAGGAGTTATGATTTCTTTTTGTATTTGAAACCATTCTGTAAGAAACTATTAAATTTAGTTTGAAGCTTATTAATGAACATTTTATGCCAGCTAAATAAAGTAACACAAGACTTTATTTGCATTTGTAGACAAAAAACTTTTTCACCGGTTTTGTCAATAAATTCAAGTCAAACAGACAAAGCTTCTGATCTGTTTAAGCTTCCAAACCGAATTTCGTCATCTTCTTCGTGTATTTCGGGAACAGCGCGTTTGATTATTTATGAAATTTCTTTGTTTGTTACGACAGCAAACCGGGAAACCATTACGCGAGTTTGGCGCCGGTCGCTCGGAGGAACTGGAGGTGCGTCGGTCAATAGCAATGGATATCCCGACTTTGAGTAGCCAATCATAGCGCACGAATAACACTATCCACTGTTTTAGTATATAATAAATTTGAATAGCCGCAGGCCACGTGAGTGACAAGGCTCTTCAACAATTATTGCTCGAGCCGGAATGGGCTCTGAGTCAATAGCCCAATAGTCAACAGTCAATAGGTCTGATATTGACTCAGAGGCTATGAGGGCTAGAGGAACAATTGTTTTAGTAAAATCCAACTAATTGGTAAAAAATATCGAGACAAACAACTTTAGCTAGCAAAACGCGATTCAGCCGCCATTGTTTTGGTTTTCAAAGCCGGCGCTTTTCGCTAATAGTGGGCTATAACATATAGCCTAGTAGTAGCTCGACCATTATTAACCGAGCATGGATTGTAGTAATGTTTTTTATCAAGGGATCAAGGTCGGTGTTATTTTTTAAACTCACCACAGACTTGTATCGGTCTGATGTCCATCTCTGCATCAAGTCAGCAATGAAAACTAACACTGCTCCTCTCATGGGCGTGACGGGTGCAAATTGTCCATTAACATTATTGATCACCTGAATCAAACATACATACATGCTGTTGAACTATGTTAGCATAAAACAAGGGCGATTTTGAAGCAATATGAAAAATCCTTATGTTCTTAAGAGTATCATTCATCGGGAGGCAAGGAGCACTTCGGAGCGAGTTTATAATTTTGTCGAACGTGGAAATGAGTTAAATTACGGCTTTCATCGTCAAATAATAATTTCCTCGAATACATCTTTTAATAATTTCATCTTTTTCATCTTTTAATAATTTCCTCGAATACATCTTTTAATTCTAGGTAAATACAGCTCCATCAGCTTCAAATTTCGTCTACCGGTAGAATAAATATATGATGACGTGGCCCAGTAGACGACAGACGACTACCGGCCAATTGGCCGTCTTTTTTTGTAAACCATATATATATTTTTTTACCTAGAGGCCTGTTGCTCTTTATTTGTACTGCCGCAGCCTTACACGCTCGCGATCAACGTACTTCTGGTAAAAAACGTAAAACGGATAGCATTAAAACTAGGTTTCTCGATGTCTAACCTCCAGTCCACCAACATCATCTTGCAACAGCAGTGTAATCCCACCATAATCTGAGTGTTCCCCGGCGCGAATCTGACCCGGCTTGATTTCACTAAGATCTGATATCATTGGGTAATAGTTGTATCTTAACTGAGTACAACCTTCGGAGGTGCCCGTCTTTTTCCAAGCAAAGGCAAACGTGTCTGGATCCTGGATGAGAAAACAAAAAGGTGAGGCCGAATAATGTTTTGGCATCATTTGAAAAGTGTACATGAAGAAAAATAACATAGCATTTAGGCAAACCAATAGCTGTCTTGAGACTAGAGCCCGGGCTTACAGTTAAATAATTTTGTGCTCTTGCGATCATCGACCTGCTTATTATGTCATATATAAAAAAGCATGAATCGTAACCGGTTTTATCGAAGAAAAAAAGGTTTACTTATTTTTTTTTCGGGCCAAGCATTAAAGTCTATGTGGGTAGGGTTTCACTGGGTCTGTTACAGAGAAGAACGAAACTTCACTTGGCTTACACACTTCAGTCGTATCTAAGATTGTTTTCCATTCTTATACTTAACACTTTGGACTGAATTACGTTTTAAATACCCAAATCCTTTCGCCGATAAGATCATAAGACTAACAACTATAAAATCGATCGTACCAGATCAAGGCTAATGGCTATGACAGACAACATCCTTGCAGCAAGGCTTGTTATGTCCTCGTAAAAGGTTTGGACAGTGCCTTGAAAGTTTGGGACTTCCTCGTTAGGCCACGTCTGTAAAATGACAAGTGACTACTGATTATTGCGAATGATACATTAGCGTTAGTTTAACTTCTGTGTAGTAAATCAGAGCCAGGCAGAATTGAGAATTAATAATATAACTCTTGTCAGTCAAATGCATAAGTAACTCATGACTAAATGACGTCACTTTGACGGTGCAATTTTTGATCTCTGCAACCATAAACTTGAGTCTGCGAACAGGATCTTTGTGCTCATTCAAAAGACCCTCCCCCATCAGATTTAGGTTTCATTGGAAAACGACTTCACTACATGACAGTTCAGTTTGAGAGAAAAAGGAATGCGATTTTGAGCATAGAATAAGGTAACTAAGCAATGGAGATTTTTTCTTAAGAGTGCTGAAAATCCTCTATCAATGGAACACAGCCCCGTTGAAACTGAAATCAAGATGGCTGAACACAGTTTTGCGGGCGGTCAGCGGTAACTTGCGTGGCGCGTGTTTTAAATTAGACAAACAAACATGACGGCGAAAAAGCAATGTTACACAGAAGACGATTTCTCAAAATCTACTTATTAAAATTTTGTGATATTTGGCAGAATTTTTACTTTTATGATATTTTAAATGATGAGAACTTTAAAATGGAAGTTGAACAGACGAATTTTGTGACACATTTAATAATTACAGAACAATTATATTGTTCATTATCTAAAAACCCGTTTGTTTAAATTTGATAAAATAAGTAAAAATAAAATAAGTTTAAAATAAGTTTCAAATGGTAATGATTGATTATAGTAAGCTGTGTGCAAGTTTATAGGAACATCTAATGAGGCAATTTTATGTAAACTATTTTAAGGTTGTATTCAATCGTTCATGTTGCAATGGGAAGTACGAAAACGTCAAATTTTACTTGTCAATCAAAATCTTTCATCAGTATATTCAGTTTTACTTTCCAAGTTTCAGCTTTTGAGCTGCAACCTTTCTCTTGTCTTGGCAAATGACATATACCAGGAGCCCATAATTCCTGCATATACTCACAAACTGCCAAAACTGTGTTCAGTCACGTTAACTGTCATTTGTTAGTCGCGGATGGGGGTTAGTTCAAATCGTGTTTCTAAGTGGTTTCTCGCAGAGTTTCCGAGGCACTGCTCAAAGAAATTTTATCTTGATCGCAAAAAAATAACTGAAACTTACATAATTTTCATCTTCCAGTCCGCAGAAATCAAACGATTCCTTGAGGTCCGCAGGTCTTTTCATATTGCCGGTGGCTCTGCAATTTGACACACAGGTTCGGTAAAGTCTGCATATTAGTTGTTGGAAAAAAGCTCTCTCTAAATAGCACCTGTCTACAGTTTTTGTTATGTCTAAATCTGTGAAAGGTTTGAACCCTGGGCTGGGTTGTTCAAAGCAGGGTTAGCATAACTCAGGGCCTTAGTGCAAAATTTCAACTCAGATATGAAACGTTAAAAAGCAAATTCAATGAGTTTTATTCTTTTTATCCACAATTTGATGATTTGATACTCTAAAAAGATATCGACAAAATTATCCTGAAAAATGCTTTTGAACAAAAGAAAAAGAAACCGGTGTTAAAATTTTACCCAGGGTTAGCGCTAATTAATCGGCCTTCGAACAACTCAGGGGCGGATCGAGAATTTTTTTTAGGAGGGGGTGCACTCGTCTCTTGCTCTACTTCAACACCAATAAACCACATAGTTCAGTTTTTTTTTGTTTTTTTGTTTTTTTGCAGAATACCAGTTGTATTAGAAAACCGCAGGTCATCTCGGGGGGGGGGGGGGGGGGGGCCCCCCCCCNAATGGAAGTGTTGCTGCCAGTGACTGTTGTTTCGACAACATCTGCGGTAGTCATCTTCAGAGTTAAAGTGAGTTGTATCACGTCAGTTGATGGTATTTGAAACTCTGATTATTCACCTGATTGGTCAATTAAGTCGCGATGTTATTGGTCCTCTGTCAGTTAGGCCGACTGTGATATTATCGGCTATCAGAAGTAGTCAGGGGCACCCAACACCGGATTGTTTTCTGTAAAATATCTGTTTGGAAAAACAAATATTGCCTAGCATTTTCTACTATTTGAGGACGGATAAAGATTTCTAGGTGACCGTTCTATTCATGTACAATTTTCGAAGCTTATCTGTCAGTGATAAAGTCGCTACGATTTTCTACAGTTTACTTTCTCACATTTCACTCCACAGGTTACGCTATTTTTTGAGAAAAAATGAAACGTAAACTTTTCGGATTAAAAAATGTGATAAAGAGAGGAATAAAAAAAATTCTCACTTTCGTAATACGTTAAATTGCATCTAAAATCTTCGGGAATGTAAAACAGAACCTCTTGCAATTTCGAAAAGACTCATTAAGTTCCCCTTATGAACGTACAAATGTTTTAACGCGGTTTATAATGCAAATCTAAAGATCTAAAAAATACTCTATAGATAGCCTAAAGTGTTTTCTTTAATGTATTTAGGACGAAACAGTCTTTGGGTGCCCCTGATAAGTGGGTTACGATCAGTAACGATTTTTTGCCTATTTCTCAGCACGATTTCAGGATAAAAACAGAAAGTAATGTGTTTAACGTAATCTTGCATTTCTTGTTTTCAGCTATTTCGTCTTCGGATAGCTGTGAACGCCATTTCATTAACTTCATTATTGCCCAAGTAGCCTCGTTTCCAGGCAAATATACAACTGAACGCCGGACACTTGGGTCTGTACTTTTTGGACTCAAAACAAGAAGGTTTAACTTGAAAGAATTTTCTTCGGTAGAGGTATGTAATTCGAGTAAGAATACCTTTCGCTTTCAAGCTTATCCCAGCCATTCTTCAGAGTCGTTCCGGTTCTCTTTGCGTACTTCTTCTTTACATCAATGTTCAAGTTAAAAAACTTGTCATAAGTTTCAAAAGTAGTGTCAATCTGCAAGATCAAAATAGGATTATTAACAAAGTGAACCACAAAGTGATTTAACAAATACTAGAGACATTGTTTCCTCTAAAAAAAATTATCCAACAGACAAATAATCGAATTAGGAAGAAATTAGACGGGCTTATTAGAAAAGGATAGACTTGCCGTTTCTTGTGGGATTCCATGGTTTGTAATATAAACGACTCCAGTTGTGCTGAAAGCTTGGTACACTTGATTAGCAAGGTCTTTAACAGCTTGGATGCTTCGATCGGGATCCTTGACATCTAGACTCATCGCGCTAAAGTCCACAACTGGAATTGGACATGAGGGATTGGGTGCCATGTTAAAATCGTCACATTTGGTACTAGCAGATCCTATTGACGCTAAAAGAAGAAAAGAATAATAAATTGGATTTGCCGTGTTGGCCGAAATATTTTACTGCAAGAGTGAGAAACATTTCAAGAAAAACGTCAGGGACCGGGGTAAATGTAATACTAACATTTTCAACAGGAAAACTTAACTTCTAATCAAGACGTAAGATAAACTGCAAATCACCGTTAAATATTCAAATGACCTAATGACTAATAGTAAAGGGTAAAACTGTTGTGAAGTATTTCGAAAGTTATTTTTAAGATTTGAGTTTTATTTTCTAAGTTTCGTTTTTTTTTCTTTTGTTTTTTTTTGTTTTCTATTAAGTGAGTTAAGTTTAGTCCTGATTTTGTCACATAGGTGTTTTCCTGTTGTCATCTTTGTTTTTAATCTTCAAATGACTTGAATTTTTGCTTAGCTCACGAGTTTACTGAATGTTATGTTAATAGGAATATTCTTCGCTTGCCATTGTCAGATGTTAGTTTTTCATAGGTGGTCCGCGTGTACCTTGGTACATTAGTCTCGATGAAGTTCCTGTTTGGGTTTTTTAACCTGAGCGTTTTAGTTTTTCATTGCCTTGGTTTGTAGCTTCTTGCCAATCGCAACTATGTAGGTTCAGTAATATCAAAACATCACCCACACCGAGTTCATCTTGATTTTATTCCCATGGTCAGTTAACCTCAACACGCGCCGAGCTTTGGCTATAAAAACCGCTACTATATAGTTGAACTAGTTGGTTAGGATTGAGTAGAGAAGAGTAAGAAGATTTTAAAAGATTAAGATTGTTAGCAGAAGTCAAAGATGAATAAAAATCAAGAGGTAAATCAGATTCCTCAGGCTAGTACTTCATCGTGTAGCAGGCGAGGTTGCTCGAACACACTCCTAAATATTTTTGGTCATAAATCAAGCGTATCAACTTTCAATTAATACATTTTGTAATTTGCCACTTTATAATTTATTTTTACATATTTACTATTTTCTTGAATAGAGTAAAAATTGTTCATATATGTCAAAACAACCAGGATTTTTGAAATTATGGGATCTGGGGAGAATTTTCAGAAAGAAATATAGTAATAACAGCAGTATGAATCAGAAGGACTAAACAAGTTTGCCTGCTCTTTGTTCCAGTTTTTACTGATTGCCATGGGCATGAAAGGAGCCACATCAAATAATAGCTGCATTTGGTGCAAGATTCATAAAAATGAGAGGTTAGAAGGCATATTTTATTAATTTTGACGGTAATACCAAGAAGGCAGAATTCAAATTAAGAACAGAAATTATTTACACTATGAACTTTGATTTTTGTCACATACTGCAGTATTACATTTTGTCCTCATGATAGTGAGTCATATGATACAGCCTCATCCAATATTATATTTTTGACTGCAAATAAAAATATATATTTAATGATGACTGCAATGAGGATAACTGTTTTTACTTACTGGTTCCTAGGTGCAACGTGTCACACTCCTGTGAGTACTTTCTTAATGGAGCATTGGCCAGAAGTCTCAATGATACATGGTTAAGGCCACCAGGATGCCATTCACTTCCATTTTTTAACATTCTAATTGAAAATGTGGTCTTGGATGAATTACATCTAATGCGGCGAATAACAGACAGGCAGGAAGAAGGGCTTATCCTTGACATTCTAACATGGGATTCAGTAAGTAAAAATCAATAACCATGTTGATATGCAAAAAAATTAATCTTTATTTTGAAAGGAGTCATCAAGAAATAGCAGAGCATAGCAAATTTTACTCTGGCAATTCTTTGTCTTTAAAATTGGTCTTACTAATACTTTTATGTAGTAACAAATATTACTCTAATAGAGACTAAGCTAAATCACAACCTATTTCCTTTTATTCTTTGAAGGATGATAATCAGAGCAGACCAGGAAATAAAAAGTCACAGGAGGCACCTGGATGCCTTCCTAGTAGTTGCACACTCTCTAGGTGTCAGCCTTAGGGTACGTGTACAAGACAAACGACAAGTGGGAATGGACTTCCTTGCGGGAGGGAGAAAAGAAGATTCTACTACAAAAGCTGCCAGATCATTTCGAAAAGATTTTGCTACCAGCAAAGGTTAACAAGACAAGGCAACTATGGATTGTAAGACAGTAGTAATGTCAGTTGTAAAGTTGTACATTTAACTCCCTGCAAGACATTAACACCACTGACTGAAGAGTGGCAGGGATAACCTATAAGTGTCTGTTTTAGGGTAGTTTTACAAAAATCTGCAAATATAATGAACATGAAACAATCCCTTCCCTCTTCTTGTCTTCTCTGAAAACTAAAGAGAGCTTATGGAGATTTTGAACACGGAAGGAATCACTGATGATGAAATAAAATCATTTGAAAATAACGTTGGTTTTTATCTTCTTCTGAACCCAAAAAGTGAAATATTACACCCTGGAGTTTTTCCTTGTAAATCTTCACTGAGCTAAGAACCATGCATTTTGGTGTTGCAGGCTTAAGTTGGGGCAAAGACATGGTTGCAATGTCTTCGAGTGGACCCGGGTACATTCAGGCAATTATCGTCCTACATGCACATCATGATTTTTCACGTTCCTGTCATGATGAAGAAGCATCATGTACTTTGAGACAATTTCGTGGCCAAGGTATGCAACATTTCTACCTTTCTTAGGCCCAGTTCATACGTCGTGCTTCTGCCGTGCCGAACTTAATTCTTGAATTAAGTTCGACATAAGCACGGCAGAAGCACGACGTCTGAATCAAAGTTTTTAATTTAGTGCGGCAGAACAATTAAGTTCGACAAGGTCTGCCGTGCTACACGACTCTGGCACGGCAGCGATTCAGACGTCGTGCTTATGCCGTGTCGAACTAAATGCATAAATTTCAGAAATGTATTTT